TAAAAACAGCTCAAAAATGATTTCTAATGTAAAACTGCTACAAAGGATTAATAGAACATGCAGCCTAATGGGACCTTATATTCTAATCCTGGCTCTGCCTCTAGCTTGATCTGTGACCTTACCTCACCTTAGGCAAGTTACATGGTCATATCTTCTACAGTGAGGGACTATGATGAAGCTGTGGGACAAGACTAGCAAGCCACATCACTGCCTGGTCTTTCTTGTGTTGGAGATAACACATGCTTGTTTATTTTTCTCTATATAATAACTCTAGTTTCCTATTTGTTAAAGGTTCATAAATCTGTAGGAAATCTTCAGTGTGGTGTTGAAAAGCCCTGGGAAGTGACTCAGAAGACCTAATTCTAATGTTATTTTGGCCCCTATTTATCTGGAGATCTCTGGCCTGGGCCCTTAACCTCTCTGAATGTTTCCTCATGTGTAAAGTGACAGAGGTGGAAAAAGTAATCTTACATTTACCTTGGTACATTTACACAATGGAATTCTATGCAGCAGAAAGAAAGAAGGAGCTCCTACCCTTTGCAACAGCTTGGATGGAGCTGGAAAGCATTATGCTAAGCAAAATAAGCCAGGCAGTGAAAGACAAATACCATATGATCTCACTTTTAACAGGAGCCTAAACAACAAAACAAACAAGCAAAATATAACCAAAGACGTTGAAATAGAGGACAGGCTGACAGTGACCACAGGGGAGAGAAGAGGGAATTTCAGGGGACAATGGGAAGGGTTTACAGGAACAAATTTAAAGGACACATGGACAAAAACTGGGGGGGGGTGGTAATGGGAGGGAAGTGTGGAGGGTTGGGAGGGTGGGCTGGATTGGGAGTAAAAGGGAGAAAACTGTACTTGAACAATGATTAAAATAAAATAAAAAAAGAATATCTTGGCTAAAATGTTTGAAATGATCTTAGAGATGTTAGCATCTCTAGCTTCAAAGCTGTTTCCACAATAAGATTGACTCAGTACACTATTTAATGCAGACATTGTTTTTTATATACCATGACCTAATGTATATTTTTCATGCATATCTGTTTTTCAAAGTGAAATATGTTAAAAGTTACAGCTAATTGTCTTAAAATGATGTTTAAAACTTGTATGTAAATATTTCATAATTATTTGAAATAAAAGGGTCCAGGAGATGTAGAAATGCATTGTATTTAAATTTATTTTTATTTAATAGTTTTATTGTATTTTTTTCATTACCATTTAGTCCCCTTACACCCTTACCCCATGCCCACCCGCTCCCCTCCGCAATCACCACACTGTTGCCCATGTCCATAAGTATTATATTTAAATTTACATATTGACATAGAAGACATTTACTGTTTTCCTAGTATTCATGATTTACAGAATACATTCTTGTATTCTATTTCATTATGTATACTCTTTACAGTATACAAAATGTGTACTTTTCCTTATCTTTTTATATTTTGAAGTTTACTATGCTAATTTAGATTAACATAAAATCAATAGTATTGATAGCTTTTGTTTGTTATATACCAGAGCTATACTATATTAATTTACTGAATGCTGGCGACTACCCTATGAGGTAGGTACTTCTATTATCCCCACTATGTGGATGATAGAACTATGGCACCAAGAAGTTAAGTAACTTGCCTAAGGTCACACAGCTAGGCTGGGATTTGAAACCAGACAATTACAAAGCCCAGGATTCCTACCCACTAGGCAATATTGCCTCTCATATGAGTTCCTGATTTCTGATACAAAAGATGCCACTTGATGAACAGAAGATAAACAGGATGGTGCCTAGTAGAAAATTAGGTTATGAGCAAAAGAAAAAAAAAGAATTTACAGACAGAGCCATTTTATTACAAATTTCCTTGCCAAGTCTGGGGAAGAAGTCAGACCATTTTGTGAACTTGGACCCTTACATAGTTAATGGATTCCACAATCTGGAACCACTAGAAGTGAAATGAAGACCATAGGATCTGTGCTCCAGGGGAGTGTTGACCCAACAAGGATGGCTGAAGAATAGTGCAGGAGCTCCCTGCTCCCCATGCTCCCAGGGCAATGAGAAAACCCCATGGGCAAGAGGCTGTTTCTGCTAGCCAGTGGGTAAGAAGAGTTCCACCTGCACCCAAAGTACCGGCTACAGTGGGGTGGACGGAGAGCGAATGGCCTCTGCCGGATTCTGAGAAGCAAGGGGTATGGGAGACATTTTCCCTCTAGCACTCTCCTCCCTGATAGAAACTATATTCGCAGTCCATTTTCCACCCTATTTGCCACAGGTGGCGAGGATGCGGCAGCAGCACCCTGTGATCCCAGTCAGCGCCCACTCTCTTAGCTGCCAGCACTTTTTGGGCCATATCCTGCCCGCTGCTAGGGTTGCTTGAGGGCCCTGGCTACTGGCCTGGGTTTTCCTTGGACCCTGGCAAGTCCGGGAGGCTCGCCACCTGGTAAGCCAGTCCCTGGGCGCTGCCTGTCTCCCTCCAGAGGCAGGATGGGCAGGTAGCAGAGCACATAGATTCCCCAATTCCCACTCCTTCCCGCCCACTCCCCCGAGTGTGCAAGGGCAGCTGGCACACAGAAGTTCCACTGCAAACGCCCACCCCTCCCCTAGCACTGCCTCTTCCCGAGCCTCACTCCAGGCCCATTCCCCAGCAATAAGGGCAGGGGAAGTCCCCCACCCTCCGCCCCCCATACCCACCCCAAGAGCCCACTTCCCTCTCTGAGCGCCCCTCTCCCTCACCTACCCACTTTCTCCTTCAATTTTCCACAGCCTGCTCTCCCAGACTTCTCCCAAGTTCCTGAGAGCAACTTGGACAGTGAGGAAGAGTCAATTATCCAGCTTTGTTCAAGAAAAATATCTGCGACGTCCGCTCCTAAAAAGCCTAGCGCGGATTCAAAAGAGTAAATGCTGAAACACCTGGGTCCGTGTGCAGGAGTCCTTTCCTGGCCCTGCTGTCCGGGTTCTTGTCCCGAGTTGTGCTTCCCCTGAAGGGAGGTTCTGCGATTCAGGGAATGTCTCCTCTTCCTTTCCACCTGCCTGCCTCGGCGACCAGCTCCTTCCTGGTCCTTCTCAATATCCAGTGGGAATGCCCACGTTTCCACCCGCCTGATTTCCCAGATATACTACGGGTGTCAATATGCATTTTAAGCTTTTAAGCGCTAGGCTCCTGCGTCCCCCACCCACTCACTGACACCAGGCTATAGAAGCTGACGCCCTGGTGAGCAGGATAGAAAACGATTCTGGTGGCTAAATGCGCCCCCCTGCCCCCCGCCCCTTGAGACACGGTCACACCTCCAAAATACGCACTGACCATTACACCAGGTTGGACCCGTGGAATAGGCGACCCACCCGCACACGCTCCCACCACTACTCCCGCCACTACGGTGAGAAAGAGCAGGCCAGCTTTTGCCCAGCGTGCGCTCCTGGCTTAGCCAGAGCCACTTCCCAGCCCAAGGTCTTAGGAGAGTGCGAGAGGAAGAAGAGAGGTTTAGGAAGCAAGGTACTCACGATTCCACTGTTAGCCTGGAGAGCCGGAGGGGAAGCTCCTCCCGTGTCGCTGTGGTACGCTGTGCGCATGCGTCCCTTGTGTACTTTATTTTTATTTTATTTTAAATTTTAATACCAAGTGATGTACTTTCACGTTCGTGATTGCTCTCTCCAACTTTCTTTTTCCTCTGGCTCTGGGTCTTTCCTCTCACCCTCCTCTCCTTTTCTCTCACTTCCTGTGCTGTGCCTCCACCCTCTAGTCCTTCCCCAGACGAGCAATCCCAAGTCCCACCTGGCTCTGGCAGCCGCGGGCTTCCCTGAGGTGGGTCACCAGAGGCCCCACGCGGGCACCAACCTGAACCCGGACCTTAGCCTCCTTCCTTTAGCCTGGAAAGTGCCGAGACTGTGGATGCAAAGCAAGGCAAGAGCTGAGGGTGTTTGCAGGATCCTCCTCTGCTGTATCCACGCTTCCGCGCTCGGGCCGCAGCCAGACTCAACTGTGGGAATGCGTGCTCAAACCCTGTGAATGAAGGGGGCAGAGGGAGGTGCGCGTGTTGGGGGTACACGGTGCATGGAGGGGTTGCTCAGTCCCTGGAGATTCTTGCCGCGGACTGCCCTGCCTTTGCAGGGCAGCCCCGTCACCTTCTTCCTTTCCCGAGGGTGTTTCTTGAACCTCTGCCCCTATCCAACACCGGTTCCGCCTCCATCTCCGGTTGTCCCACCTGCACTGGGAAGGGGGATCCTTCCGCACTCTGACCTGCTGGAGCCAAAGGCTTCACCTGGTTTGGGGAGTAGGGTTGGGTTGGGTTGGGTGGCAAAGTCTAACTCCAAACTCTGGATCCTTCTGAGACCCTTGGCAGCGGCCCTCCCTCTGTCAGGGCTTCTGGATGTATCGGGATAAGGAGGAAGGCCTGGAGAGTGGAGGAAGAACTTTGTCGCTAGGCCTGTGCACAAGGATCGAATTGCCGAATTGCGGAGTCTCCCCATAGTCCTCAGGGTGCCTTCAGGCACGGTTGCACTGCCGGGCTGTGCGTCTGAGCTCAGAGGGCTAAACTGAAGTTGGAAGCAGGTCCGACACAGAAATAATATCACGTCATTTCCTCCCCGGCCTCTCCAGCCGGCAGTCACGGAGATTAGGGGGCAGAGGAGTGGGCGCGGGAGGAGGGATCGGAGGAGCAGCTGAGGAAGGTTGGAAGGAGTGGGAGGAGAGCAATGCGTTAAGATCCTGTGTCTGAGAGGAGTCTCAAGATGGACAAGGGCTTCCTCTCTATTCCTTGAACCCTAGAAGAAAACAGCCCACGAAAAAAGTGGCTTGGAGGGTTTCCTGAGGGGGAAGTATCAGGAGAGTCGCCCGCACCTTTTCCTTGAACTTGCTCAACCCTGTCTCTACTTTCCCACCTCTCCTAGCTGGCCGGAGACCCTGTTGGCCCCGCGTGGAGTGGCTCAGTCCAGGTTAGGAAGGAGTTGGGGATGCAGGCGTCCTGGTGTGGCCAGAGTTGGGCACGGTGGAGACAACGGTACTCACGGGTGTGAACGAGCGCTGACCGGCGCTGGCGTCCTCTTCCTGGGGCAGGCGTTCCCCTGGGCTTCGGCCAGGAAATGTCAGAGCTGCCTGGAGCAGGAGCAAGAGGCGGCCTGGCCACTCCTTGTTTCCCCCCCAATAGCCCAGTTCCTGGCCTGGCAGGAAGCGGGCGGGAGAAGTCCAAGCGCTGCTGGGGAGTCTCAGGAGGGGGTCTCGGGAGAAGGTGAGAGAAGAACTGCATGAGGCTGTAGAGGGTGCTAGAAAGGAGGGTGACAAGCTTCTGGGCAAAAGTCAAATCTGGGATCTGTGCAGAGCAAGCAAAGGGCAGGGTGAGAGTGGGAGGAGAGAAATAAAACCAGCATACCGTTACTGATGAGCCCAGCCACAAACTGAAGAAAATGTGCACTTAGTGCCATTTATTACAGCATTACTGTGGTGATGTAAGAGGTCGGTGAGAGGAAAAGGAAAGGCCTTTGGTTAGATTTTCTCCCCCTAACTTTCCCTCTTTCCTTCCCTTTCTTCCCTCTTCCTCCACTTTTCTTTCTCCCTCTTCCCCTCTTTCTAAAATCCCTGCTATTCCAAGTGCAGTCCTTGGAGCACCAGCTTTGCTGACTGGAAGTTGCTAGAAATGCAGAACTGTGGGCCCTGCCAGACCTACTGCATCAGAATCTGAATGTTAATGTTCTCAGGGGATTCCTTTGCACGGTAAAAATGTGAAGTGCAGTGTATAGAAGGACCTGTGTGCACATCTCTTGATTCTTTAGAATTTGAATGAAAATCTCCTGGTATACTTTTGCAACTCATGTTCTTTCTCTCTTATCTCTCATCATCTCTTTTACCACCCTCCAAAGTGCCTAGAGCTCTGCCTGCCCGAGGCATAGAAGGTGGATTTGGTTACCAGTTTCCATTGGGATAGATATCTGGGAGACTTAGATGGTGGGAGACGACTGAAGTATCCCAGACCCACCTCATACTGGGGGGAGGAAGGATCTGGCTGAACTGACTTTAGTTGTGCTGGATGGGGTGGGTGAGATGGAAGAACAGACCTGTGTTGGGACTCTGAAGTTCACACTCTGCAGGCCCCTTTCCTCACACTCTCTGTGTCCATCTTATTCTCAGGATAATAAGCCGTTCCACCTTCCACTTGTTGCTTAGGAAACCTAAGCATCCAGGGTGAAGGTAAAATCCTTTCTTTTTTTTTTTCTTGGAAAGTAGAGGAAAGCATTAATTTAGATGTTAGAAGTCTAGGGTACTAAATTCAGACTTGCAACTGATTTGACAGCTAACCTTGGAAAAATCACTTTACTCTTTGAGATTATGTGGTTCGTTTATAAAGTAAAACATTAAACCTAAAGGCCTTTTAAAGTCGCCTACCTTCTTCAGGCTCTCCTTCTTGGGAAGCTCGCAGAGTTTCTTGGTCCACTAACATTTAATGAAGTTTTAAACCGGAATCTAACTCAGCCAATACAAACAGCCCCCTCAAAGCAAAACAAAAAAGACATTTTCATCTGACTGTGAAAAGCAAGAGTAGCCGTTGCCAAGAAAAATGAAGGTGGAGGTGGGAAGGAGTGAAAAAAAGTGACAGAATAGAGGTGTGTGCGAGGGGGTGAGGCGTGGCGTGGCGCGGGTCTGCGGGACACAGCGACCTCTCTCCAGGGTCCTGAAGATGGACAGGCCGCGGGAGGCCTGGTGGGCTTGGCGTGGTTCCATCACTCTGCAGTCGCCAGGTCCCTGGTGTTTTCTGTCCGTGGTGAAAGTCTGTGGGAAGCGATTGTCAAGAGAGAGGGAGGAAACCTAGCAACCCATTCTCATTCATGAGGGTCTTTCTGGGAAGCTGCTGAGCCCGTTGGCTAACTTGTGTTTCTTTCCTTTGTATGAGCCTGGGGAGAGAGTAGAGCTTGATTTGTACTTCCGAGTAAGTTCACACTTTCATTTCTCTTCATCACTTCTTCCTGGAGAATAAGGTCGTTTTCCTAGTATTTTTATTATTTTCGCCCCCTCTCCCACTTTCTGGAACTGGACCTTTTATTTTAGCGCTGGGAGCTCAGGAGGCTTCTGGAGAAGCGCCAGTAGCTCACTCGAGGGGGGTGGGAACGTGAGCGATTTGGAAAATGCTCAGAGCAAGCCTTAGTGCCCAGGATGTGCCCCTTGACTGGGGTTTGGGGCGAGGACTGCCGACGCCAAGCGAACTTGGCCGCCCTGGGAGGTGCTGGACCTGTGTGGGTCAAGGCTAACCTGGTGCACACCTGCGGGGCGGGCCAGAGGCGGTGGTCGTGTGTGCCTCGAGCACGGTGCCATGCGGCCTCAGGAACCCCAGCCATGTGGGCACTGGTGCCCCCAACTCTATGCTACGAAGGTTAAGAGAGAACTGACACAGTGCCCCGCAACTCAGAGCTAGACTAAGCCCACCCAGACCAGCCTCAGGAAAGGGCTTGAACGAAGTGAAAAAGGCTGAAAAGCAGGCACACTCTGAAACCTTCATGGGCCTTTCGTGGGTCCCAGAATTTTCATCTCCAGCTGTTTCAAAATGGTTTTGTGAGAGTGTGTGAACCTATAATCGGACTCTTCTCTTTTCTCCTCTCACCCCAGTCCTTTCCAAGATACTTGCACTCCCCTTCCTGGGGCATGCTTCATTAGGTATTTTGCTTTGGTCCTATGCTTCAAGACAGAGACACTTCTGAGGGAAATAGAGGAAATGGTCAGGCAGAATTAAAGTCCCAGACTCACTCCCAGAAACACAAAGCCTGAGCTCCTTTGATCTTCTGGAGGCATTCTCCTTTTACCCTTCCCTAGATCTGTGGTTTCCCTCCAGATCAGTAGTCTCTCCTCAACTCTGGCTGTAATTAGTGAGAGTGTGAAGCATGATATATGGAGAGTGCTAGAATCCATTTACTTCCTTTGGCCATTCTGGCAAGGGTAGAACTATGCAGTATCAATGTAGCCACAAAATTCGATCTGAGCAAACTTATCTGAGAAAAGACCTTCAGCTGCTGGCTGTGCTGATCACTCCAGAAAGTCCTTTCTTTTAGGCCTTTAGATTCTAGATGACAGTCTGAGGGTTTCAAGGATATTAGCCAAAAGATGGAATCATCTTGGAATCTGTATTTCTGAAAGCACTGCTGCTTAGAAATTATATGACTTAGGGAGTACTTTATTCTGATGGAATATCCACTTCTCATTATCAATCACATTAGCAACTGAATTATGCAGAAGAGGAAAATCACAATACCTTAAGTCAATATAAATGAAATCTCACCCCTTAAAATGCAAATTGAAAAATTGTATTTACCTCTAAATAGTACCATTTCATAAAGGAAACATCTTTTGTGGGGTAGGGTGGGCCCCTAATCTAGTATGACTGGCGTTCTTATAAAAAGAGGAAGTTTAAACACAGACATGTACACAGGAAGAATGCCATGTGAAGATGAAGGCAGAAATCAAAGTGATGCATCTATAGGCTAAGGGTTGCCAAAGGTTGCCAGCAACACCACAGGTAGGAAGAGGCATGGAACAGATTCTCCCTCAGAAAGTATTTGGTCACAAGACTGAAAAGTGGAAACCCCAAATGAGTTTTCAACATGCTGTCTTGCTCTACAGACTTTAGACTTGCCAGCCTATATCTGTATGCTATTTATTCTGGTCTTCTAGAGTACCTCAACCAATATACCCTAATATAGGTTTTATTATCTTTTATCTGGTCTATTGGAATAGCCCCATGACTGGTATTTATTCTTCTTTGCCTCATTCTCTCTTCTAGCATAGTCTAAATACTGAAGCCAGAGTTATCCCTCAAAATGTAGGCTGGATGTTGTTACTCTGCAACTTCAAACTTTCTATTGGTTTCTTATTTCAGAATAAAATCCAAAGTCTTTACACTAGCCTTTGCACTGTGTGAATGGTTCCACACTACCTCTAAGATTTCCTTTTACTCTATAACTATCTCCACAACATTGGTTTTCCACAGCATTTGTTGTCATCTGACATATGATATATATTCATTTGTTTATTTGTATGCTTTTTGTTCATTGCTATATCAGTAATGACTAGAAGAGTGCTTAGCCCTTAAAAAGTTCTTAATAAATATTTGTTGGACAGATCAATTAACAAACAAACTATTATTCAGCCATGAAAAGGAATGGAATTCTGATACATGCTACAACATGAATGGATCTTGAAAACATTATACTAAGTGAAAAAGGCCAGACACAAAAGGACAAATTTTGTATGATTTTATTTATATGTGGCACCAAAATTAGGCAAAGTCATACAGGTAGAAAGTTATTACCAAGGTCTGGGGGAGAGGATAATGGGGAGTTATTGTTTAATGCACATAGAATGCTTGGATTGATGAAAAAGCTCTGGAAATAGATTGATACTTACATAACCTTGTGAATTATTTAATAGCACTGAATTATACACTTAAAGATGGTTAAAATGGTAAATTTTATATTATTTAATATGACACTAAAACCTTTCTAAGTGTGACCTGTGCAAACTTGTTACAATGTTAGTGACTACATTCCTTATACACCCCCATAACTTATTTGTTTTATAACTGAAAGTTTGTAGCTTTTATTCTCTTTCACTTTTCCACTCATTTCTCCATCCATTCCCCTCTGGCAACCATGAATTTGTTCTCCATATTTAAGTCTCTTTGTGTTTTGTTTTGTTTGTTCATTTGTATTTTTTTAGAGCACATATATAAATGAAATCATATGGATCTCTAAGTCCATCCATGTTGTTGCAAATAGCAAAATTTTATTATTTTTCCTTTTTATTTTTTATTTTTGACACTAATACAGATGTCCCCATGCCCTACCCCCAACTTTGCCTGCCTCCACCCATCAACCAGTCCCCCCCTCCCCTCTGGCATCACCACACTGTTATCTGTATCTATGAGTTATGCATGTATGTTATGTTCTTTGGCACATCCCCTCACCTTTTTTTATCCTGTACCCCTCTTCCCTTCTGACAGCTGTCTATTCCATGTATCAGTGCCTCTGTTTCTATTTTGCTTCTCTGTTTATTTTGTTCACTAAATTCCACGTATGAGTGAGATCATATGGTATTTGTCTTTCTCTGAATGGCTGATTTTACTTAGCATAATAGTCTCCAGGTCCATGACGCTGTCACAAAAGGTAAGATTTCCTTTTTTTTGTTTGTTTGTCTTGTTTACAGCCACTAGTATTCCATTGTGTAAATGTACCACAGTTTATTTATTTATTTTTATCCACTCATCTACTGATGAGCATTTGGGTTCTTTCCAGATCTTTGCTATTGTAAATAATGCTGCTATGAACATAG